CCCACCCCCCTGACCTCCTATCCGAGTTGCTAAGTACACATCTGGCCACTCGCTTCTCAACTGCGGCTGGAGTGGTTTCATTGGGGTCTGTTGGTATGGAGGGTGAGTGACAAGAGGGAACACGCCAGACAGGGGCCGTCAGTCGGGTGGCCGGGTAGTGGGGGCCTTGTCGTGGACTTCGTCGTACTGTGGTGGGGGAGTTAAAGGCTCGATGGAGAGGGGAGGGATGTTTTTGTCCGGGAGGTTGATCCTAAAGTCTTTGAGGTGAAGTTTTTCGGATTTAATCCTTCGAACTTTCAGCGGCTTCATGCGTTTGGCCAACTTGGAGTTCTGCCTGTCGGGCAGGTTCCCCGGGCTCCTCTCCACGTCGGCCCTGGTTGTCGTGGGGCTCGTCTCGTCAAGCCCCGTCAAGGACTCATAGGAGGGGAGAGAGATGCTCATCCGTGGGCTCCGGTCTGGTTCCCTTGCATCCGAGAAGTTTGTGTTCATCACTTCCTCGTAACTGGGGACATAGTACCTCGAGGAGGCCTCCTCCTCGTCCTCCTGGCTGCAAGACAACACGCACAGACATGGAGTATTAGCAGGTGCTCAAGTCACTGGAAATCACAAGTAAATGGACCCTAAATCCTGTGTTGGCACTGGGTCCACCAGCCTTGTGAACAAGAAATGGGTCCAAGAAGTAATAAAAGTTAACACTTCAACTGTTTGCTAGGAGCCACTGTTCTAAGCACTTTAACATGTATGAACCAACTTCATCTTCCTAATAACTATTATTGTACCCATTTAATGGAGGGGAAAACTGATACATTGATGTTACCTGACTCGGTCATACCTTTAGGAAGCAGGAGGACAGGAAGCCACATTCTCAACTACTATTATCTGGGTGTTAAGTCCCCCTTGCCTTTAAGCCTCACACCTAACATGCCAAGTGGGCTATTCTGATACCCGGCTGGTCTTTCGGCCAAAGGTAACATGAACATGCATGAAATAGCTGCCGATCTGAAGCAAAATGTTTATCCACAGGCAGAGAAGGAATATCTGAATATAAAATGTATATGTATTTCAAATTATTCTGTGATTTTTTTATCTTCCAGGTTTACCATAAGACTCAAAGGACAGGTCAGGTACTCAGCCTTACTTTCATTTAACTGTTGAAAGAGAAAACGAAAGAGTCAGGGTGTTTTTTTTACATGTATAGGGAGTAATAGCCATTTTCCAGGACCCTACACTTGAACCTGTGGGTGATAAATGGCCAATACCAGAAACCTCGCTGATTGTCTAGGTTTTCTTCTCATCTCCATTAGGAATGAATTTGCGTGAGTTCATGACTAGGGTGGGGAAGATGGGTGACTGATTTTTCCTTCTTTGTTCTTTTTTCTATTTCCCCAGTTTTCTAGAATATGCATGATTATCTGTTATTATCATAAAATTGGTTTAATTTTTCCAAAATGAAAACAACTCCCCTCCTACGCTAAAGATAAAAAAGACTTAAAGAAAATTCATACAACACAGAAATATTTAATGAAGAAAATAAGAACATCCCAAATCCTTCTACCCGGAAACAATCACTGTTAACATTCTGAACACCTTTCCAGATCTTTCCCTAATCCCTCAGCCACAACATTTGATGCGATCAGGACCTCAGCCAAAGATGCTGTGTTATAACCTCCTTTTCTCAATGTGGTGGGTACGGTCCCACGTGAACAAATACGGATCAACAATAACTGTGTAAAAGGCTACTGAAGGGCATGTCATAATTTAGCTTGATTGATGGGTATGTAGGTTTTTTTCTGAGTTTTTGCTACTCTAAGCAATGCTCTGATAAACATGGGCACAAACTCCTTTGCACACACATCTTGAATCCTGCCTCTTATTGTGAAACTCCCGTCAGAAAGATTATGTCAGTCAGCACTCCCACCAGAAACCCGTTTCCCTACAGTTCTCCAACACCGGGGCCTGTCTATCTCGGCCAATACGCAACGGGAAGAACAATGACGACTTTTTTATGTTTGCATGTCGTGACTAATGAGGTTGAACATCAATTGTCTGGACGTCTATGAAATGCTTGCTCATATCCTTTGTCCATTTTCTTACTGGTGTGTTCATCTTTCATACTCGTTTGCAAGGGCTCTCTTTATAATAGAGATGTCAACCTTTACCATATGTTCCCCAATATATCACTTATCATTTAAATGTGTTTGTGGCATTTATGATCAAATAGAACACTGCTTCCCAGCCTTTTCCACTCAAAGCAAATACACACAGCATGCTAAGGGGAACAGACAAGCAGCCAGTCTGGCCACCCATGCAGCTTCCCTGGGGGGTGTCACAACCTCAGGACGCCTGTAATCCATACACACCACATTATGTGGGAAACGCCAGGATAGAAGTATAAAGTTATCTGTAAAATGATAAACTGATTTTCAGAGCCTTAATAGGAGAAAGGGGGAAGGTAAAAGCTTCTTAGACTAAAATAGTCCCATCACGGAACCCCATGCGTGTGTGTGTGTCCATGCCCCGGTCTGGGGTGGGTCAGCCAGTCCTCACCTGTCTTCCTCCTGGGCATGCGGCTCAGCCCCAGGCGGGTGCTGGATGTGTGCCATCTCCTCGCCTTGCCGCTGCTTCCTCTTGTCGCGGATGCTCAGGCAGATGGACAGCAGCAGAAGCATCACTCCGGCCCCCACCAGCACGTAGGCCACGGAGAAGGTCTTGCTCTTGAGAATGCCGCTGCCTATCTCCGTCTTATTGTTCCCCTGAGCGGTCGGCTTCTCAGCAGCACTGAACCCGGGTACCAGGTTCCACATGGCCATGATGACCCCGAGGACCAGCATCCCCAAGCCGATGGCGGTCAGTGCATAGTGCGAGCCGTTGGCCTTGGACTGGGCCATCATGCCAGCGGGAGCAGAGCAAGGCCCGGTTCAAAGAAAGAAAATAAAGAGCCGCAGCAGCTGCAACAACAAAACCCCCTTAGCCACACCGAACAGGATCCCTAGAACCACACTAACAAAACAAAACCAGCAGCCCAACTCTCAGGGATGGCTTCATGCAAACGTGAGGCGTCCCGTGTAGACAGCTGCGGCCGGGCGAGAGTTCTGAAAGGAAAGCAGAAAGAGGATGGAGGAAAATCAGTTCCAACTCAAGACACTGTTGTGAACGCCGCGGCTGTGCTCTCAAAGGAGTTAAGGAGCGGTACTGAGCCACAGGCTCCGGCTGGGCTTGCCTTTGATGCATTCCAGATGTCTTACGCACCCCTGCTCCTTCTGTGAGCCTGCAGAAGGCAGGCTCACCCGCCTACTCCCACCCGAAAAGGAAAAGCCAGGCCTTTCCCTGCAGGAGGCCAGAACGGTCAGGGCTCCGGGTGGTTAAAACATTTTGCAGAATTTAATGAAGTGCAGTAAAATCTCAGACCTCACTGGGTGTGCGAGGAGTGCAAATGATGACATGCATGAGCCGTGATCAGCAATTATAACAGAAGCCCCTGGGAGATGGGCATCAGTCAATGCTATGACCCAGTCCAGACAGCTCACTGCGGTCTTCACCAGCCTCANTGGCCTAAAACAACAGAAACATATTCTCTCAGAGCTCTGGAGCCCAGAAGTCCAAAACCAGCATTAGCTGGGCCAAAATCAAGGTTTTCTTTTTTTCACCAGGGCTGATTTCCCATGGTGCTCTAGGGAAGAATACATCCTTGCCTCTCGCAGCTCTGGTGGCTGCTGGCGTTCCGTGACTCGTGGCTGCATCCCTCCAATCTCTATCTCTGTGGTCACATGCTTTTTCTATGTGTGTAATCTCTCCCCCACCATCTCTCCTTTATAAACACGCTTGTGGATGACCTGTAGGGCTCACCTGGCTAATCCTGGCTAATCCCATCTCAAAATCCTTAACTGAATCCATCTGCAAAAACTTTACCATATACGGTAACATTCTCAGGTTCCAGGGATTAAGTCCTGATATCTTTGCAGGGGGAGGGGCCATCATTCAGCCCACAGACAGCCTCAAGCCTTTCTTGCCTAAGGAAGGTCTAGACAGGGCAGTATCTACCAGAGGTCAGGTTGACAGGCCTTTTGAAAAGCCGTTTCTCAGCTCACTGGGAACTTTGCTATTTCCTTTTTCTTTTTCCTCCCATCAGGGGGAAGCATAAAGCATGAAGAATGAGTCCAGCCCGTGGATAGCACGGAGAGCCATAGGCTGGCTCAGTAGTGGGCTGGGATCAGACCAGCCTCATAGGCTGGCTCAGTAGTGGGCTGGGATCAGACCAGCCTCCGGGGTCCAATGCCAGCAAGCAGCTCCCTTTTTTATAGATGGATTTGCATAAGGAAAGTGAAAGGTTAAACTTCAGGCCCTGCTGGGAATCCCAAGATAAGGAAGTGATTCACTTCCTAACTGCTGTCACTTCCCTCCCACAGGAGCTTTTGGGAAACACCCAGAATCTGAGAATTTAATCTTCCAACCAAGCTCCTAGCCATGAAGGCTCTTCAACAGGTCCACTCCAGGCTGGCCAATACCA